AGTCAGGTAGATGAAAGACCTCTACAATGAAAACTCTAATGCTTTCAAGCCTACATAGTGAGTTCCAGGACAGCTGGGGCTACAGGGAGACTCTGTCTCAAAAAGACCAAAAGAAAAAAAAAAAAAAAAAAAAAATAAGAATAAGCACAAATAATTAACTTAATGGTACAACTTAAGAATTTGAAAAAGCAAGAACAAACCAAACCCAAACTCAACAGACAAGAAAAAATAATAAAAATCAGAGTAGAAATAAATCCAACAGAAACAAAAAAAACAATACAAGGTATCATTGAATCTAAGGGATGGTTCTTCGAAAAAACATAAGAACCTCTACTCCAACTTACCAAAAGAAAGAGATAATTAAAATCAACAAAGGCAAAGATGAAAAGGGAAACTTAACAACAGACATGAAAAAGATCCAGACTGTTATAATGAAATACTTTAAACACCTATACTCTATTAAATTAGAAAACTTAAAGGAATTGTACAAATTGTAAATTCAATAGATTTATCATAGTTAAATCAAGAAGAGATCAACCGTTTAAACAGACCCATAACAAATAAGGAATTAAAATGAAGTTATAAACAAAGCTCCCAACTAAGTAAAGTCCAGGCTCAGAAAGAGTCACAACAGAATTTTACCAGACTTTCAGTGAAAATCTACAACCAATACTTCTTAAATTAATCAAAAAGATAGAGAAGGGAGAACTCCCAAATTTCTTCTATAAAACCAGTATTGCTCTAGTACCAAAACCAGTTAAAGACACAGCAAAAAAGGAAAAAAAAAAAAAAAAGATTATAGGCCCATATCCTTAAAGAACATAGACGCAAAAATTATCAACACATTACTCACAAATTGCATACAGACACATATTAAAAAGATCATTTCCCATTATCAAGACAGCTTTATTTCAGAGATGCAGGAATGTCTCAATATACATAAATCAATAAATGTAATAAATCACATAAATGAACTTAAAGACAAAATCACATGACTATTATATGTAGTACAGTAAACATAACAAAGCCCATATGCCTGGAGAGGTCATTGACCCTAGAGAAACAACTACATATATATCTCATATCGCTAGAAAAACACGATTTACTACTGTGTTAAATATGTATCCTAATATTTACAGAGAAGTATGCCTCATCACCTATCTAAGAAACATCTTTTTTCCACAGACGGAGACGATTGCAGAGTTCCAACAATGGTCAAATGCAGAGACTAACTGTCTGTGAGAATGTCCAGCCCTAAGTGACACATCTAAAATTCGCCCTCTACACCTAAGGCTCAAGGAACACAATGGAACACTGGGCATAGAGAATATTAATGTATCTCTCAACTCTGACTAGTGAAGCTGCCAAATGCAACAGATGGTGATTAACACAGAAAGCTACAACTGGCCAAAATTAAGAGAATAATACTACAGAGTGAATGTCCATTGATTGGTCTGCTATATCAAACCTCTAGCACCTAAGGCTCAGGGAACATTGCAGTAGTGGGGGCAGAAAGATTGTAAGAGTCAGGAGTGGTAGATGATCATAAAGAAACTGAGTTTTCCAAGTAGCTGGGAACTTGCTCATATAAACTTACAGTAATGGTGACAGCATGTACAAAACCCATGCAAACTCAAACCAGACAAAAGCCCACCACAGAAGTGGGGAAATGGGTAAGAAGCCACAAACTCAGTTGAGACATAGAACTATTGGCAACAGATCAATGCTGGGTGATGGAGAATTGGTCTTCTTTAATGGAGAGACATTAGATAGGCTGACCAGGCTCCAGTGGATGAACTCACACTGAGGAACATCTGGGGAAACAAACTTGACTAGATAGGCCTTGCCATATATGACAGAATGCATGAAATCTGGCGGGATGGCTATGAGGTGTCCAGGTAGTGCAGAGGGTCTAAATGTGATGTAGATGTACTGTTTGAAATGTACAATAAGTCAATAAAATAATTTTTTAAAAGTCTGAATGAGTAATGGGAATAATTGTATAAAAAAACAAAATTCAATATTATATTTATCCAATTCCTTATTTCATAAAAGCCCTATAGATTTTTGTCTATGTAAAATTATATATGTACACTCACACATATGATGATCATATATATCAGGAAAAATTCACAATAAATAAGGTTTATGAGCATATTGAGGAAAATGAGAAGAAAAGTGGACAAGCAGAACATAAAAATTAGCTCATGAGAAATAGTAGAGAAACATATATATCATTCAAGCACTTTTGCAAATGAAATGTTTTGTGTAAGTGTAAGTAGTAAGTGTAAGTAAATAAAATAAATGTATAATAAAGTAAGTAAAGTAAGTGTAAGTAGTAAGTAAGTAAATAATTTAAAATTTAAGAAAATGAAAATGAATAAAATACTAGAATATAGAAAATCTCCCATATTCAGGGATTGATATGTGAAAATGACCATGATTACAAAAGCAATTTACATATTCAACAGAATTCCCATTTAAATTCCAGCAAAATTCTTCACAGAAATTAAAAAAAAAATATCTCTAACTTCAAATGGACACACAAAACCCCCAAGCTATTCAGAAAAATTAAGAACAGTAAATGAAGTTCTAGAGTTATCACCCACACCTGATTTCAAATTGTACTATAGCACTATGGTATTAAAAACAGCATGGCACTGGCATGAAAACAGACACATTGTTTAGTAGAACAGAATTGAGGACACAGATTTAAGCCTGTGAGTCCACGTCCTTAGGGTATCCAGAGTTCTGACAAAAGATCAAAAATACACTTTGGAGAAAGGACAGTATGTTCAACAAACGGTGCTCGTCAAACTAGATTGCTGCTTGCAGAATGAAACTTGATCCCTAACTCTTACAATGTGCAAAACCCAACTCCAAATGGAGCAAAGACCTCAACGTAAGACCTGATGCTCTGAATCTGATAAAGGAGAAAAGAAAGCATATGTTGGAATTTATAGGCACAGGAAACGAAGTTCTGAACAGGACTCCAATAACAGAGGCATTAATTCCAGACAAATGTGACCTTGTGAAACTAAAAATTTTCTGTACAGTAAAGAACACTTTTGAAGGAATACGGAACCTACAGAAAAGGGAAAATATCTTTACCTGCTAGAACTTGGACAGAGGGAAAACTGATATTAACAATCTTTAGAAATTCTTATGGAGAACTACTACCATAGAAATTTCTTAAATACATAATATACAATGTAAAAGGAGTTTAAACCGAGTCATGCTATAACAAGGATACAAAACCCTTACTTGTCACACAGGCTGGCAAACAAAAAAAAAAAAAAAAAAAAAAAAAAAAAAAAAAAAAAAAAAAAAAAAAAAAAAAAAAAAAGCTGTGTCAGGAATGATTCCCAATTTTGAAGCTATATGTTTGGGATCTCATAGACCATCAAACACTACTGGCCATTGTCCCTGCTCTTGATTATGCACCAGAATGTCACAACAAGTCCCTATTGCTGAAAACATTACATATACAAGCTTTAAAACAAACAAAAAGAGGGTAAGCTTGTGCAGTCCTCAAAGCTTCATCTCTGCTAACTACTTTTCATAGTGCTGGAAGGTACTAAACATGCCCCTAGATGAGAAAAGTAATCATCACACTTGTTCAGGTGTGAATCCTGCAAGCTACAATAATTGGACTGGCAAGATATACCAACTGGTGTAAAAGTGTTGTGGATGTTATGTGAGTAACTAGCAACTTTCTCATTTTTTAAAAAATATCTGCTTCACAAGATGGAGCCCATACCTGATATTGATATAAGGCCTAGGAACCTGTGATTGGATAGGTTCAGAAAATAGAGGGAACCTACTATATTATTCTGCTAATATTAAACCAACTCCTAATAACTTATGGTTTTACTAATAGATTAATGCATTGTCAACTTCACCAGAGTTAATTTCTTCTTGCAGCAGATGGCAATTAACACAGAAACCCACAACTTGCCAATGCCCAGATCATAAGAGAATGCAGAATTCTTAGCCCCAAATGTGACACCTCTATCACAGATTTGCCTCCAAAGGCTCAGGGATCACTGTGGAAGAGGATTTGGAAAGTGTTTAAGAGTCAGAGACATTTGATGATTAAAAAGAAACAGTGTTTTCCATACAGCAGGCCAGTTACTCATGGATTTATAGCAGTTGTGTCAGCATGCACAAGACCTACATAAAGTCAAGCCAGACAATTACACACCATAGTGTGGGGAGGGGTTTGCTAAGAAGCCCCAATTCTAGCTGAGTAACTACTGGAAGCTGTTAGCTCCTGAGAAAGGGAAATCTAGTTTTTCTTTAAGAGTGTGGAGCTGGGTAGGTTGACCAAGCTGCAGGATATGGATTCACAGGAAGGACATTTGTGAACATGAACTAAACTTGTTAGGCTTTAGTAAATAATAGAGGACATAAAATTGGGATATTAAGTGAGGCTGCAGATCTGGGAGAGTTTCTGAACATGATTAAAATACATTGCATAAAATTCTCAAATTTCAATAAAATTATTTAAATAAAAAGTATAAATCTTCAGAGAAGAGTACATTAAAAATTTTCCTGTTTCTTATAATGGATTCTAAAATATGAATATTTTAGAATTATCTATTTCACTTTAGCTTTCAACAGGAAAATCATCCTGGGAAGGGAAATTGTCCACCCTTAGAAGCCCTGGTCCCTGGTACTAGAAGAAAGGACAACATTCCAGTGCAGATAATGGATGCTCACAGTTCAATCTATATATTAAATTTTATGGTTGTTACTATATCATTTTTTAAAATTGTAGCTCTGCTATAACAATGGATAAAACAGACTGGCAATGGTTCTCTCCCTAGTTTGGGCTAAATTTATGAATAAATTCATTTTCTCATATATATATGTATATATCCTTAGATTTTTCTTTTTTCTTAATGTTATTCAGCATTTAGACAGGACCAGGCATTATGGCCAGGAGCTCCAGTAACACAGGAAAATGAATAATGTCACAAAAAAGAGTTCTCACTTACTATTGGAATATTCTGTGTAACAGCTTCAAATGCTGGTGTCCTAAAAAACAATTTGGCCTCTGGTTTTTCTTCATTTACTATACCTTCAATTACATAGACACGCACATCATATCTTGAGACCAACAAAATTTTACAAGGATAACACCCAGGTTCAAGAGGAGCAAACCGTAGAGGAACTGAAACAGTTCCCTCCAAAGCTAAAAAAAAAAAAAAAAAAAAAAGTAAAACAGTACAGTCATTTTAAATATCTTAAGTTCCCAAAGTTCATTTTTGTAAACAATACTTAAAATTATTCTATGAAATTGTTTCATATATCTTACAATAGACCAGGTACCACTTAGGTAACATATTTTGCCTAAATATCCAGGGTTTATCATGCAAGTTTATTTATAAATGAGAAAATAGGTGTTATATAGTTTTGAAGAAGGTCTGCTCCATGTCAGCAGGGGCTCCATGCTTTGAAAAATACCCTATCTTGCCTTTAATATTGTGCTTTGTTAACAAGTCAGGAGAAGAGGAATGGTTTCTTCAGGGCCTTTCCAGTGATCAAATGAAAATTGCTCTGGGTTATTTAATAGGTCAGAACCAACCACTTGGCCCTATCTATCTGAAAATGGGTCAGAAAATGAAGGGTGTACGCCCTGCCATAGTTTTGAGATCTTTGAGTCATCTATCACAAAGCAATCAAATTAGTTTTCAACTTGATAGTCAGATAGAAACATTTTTTTCATAATGATTAGACTGAAAGTGAAAATCAAGGACATTCCTATATACATATTATAATCCAAATCATCAATTTCCAAAAGCTAAGACTCCAAAGAATAAACAATTAGATTTTCCCCTTCCAAAATAGAAATGTCAAAATTGCCAAATAGAAATTGCCAACGTTGTGGCACCATGCATTACATTATTTTGTTTTAGTACTTTTTTTGCATCTTTTCCAGTTCTATAGTGCATCAGATATACTCTAAGCACTGTCATTAACACTTCCTTCTCTTTATTGTCTCCCACTAAGCTCTTTTGGCCTGCAAAGATCACCTCTCAAGCTATTTGTTTTCAAGACATGTTTTCAGGGTCTGCTTTGGAGACACATACACTTAAACTCAAGAAATAAAGCATTTTATCTTATGCAACATGCTGTGGGGGGTCTCCTAGCCACTTTTCCACTGTCTGCATAGACACAAGGAATACAGAGGGCCAATGATACAGGCCTACATAGAGATCACCAGCATTGATGCTCGAAGTTATTGAGACATTATAAATCACAAACCAAAGATGCTTAATTATGTATTGACAAGTTTCTAATAATCCAAGGGAAGTCTTATCTTAAGGGGACTCTATCTTCTGGTTAATTCATAAACTCTAATCCCACCAATAACATGTACCATGACCTTCTTAGATACTTCCCATCTGTGCCACCACTCTCGCCACTACCCCGTAACTGCAGGATTCTATGCTTCCTTGACAGAATAATTTTTATTTTCATTTTCTCTTATAGCTACAGTCATTTTAAGTGCAGATAATTTTTTCAAGAGGGATACAAGAACAGTTAGTAGATTGACAGACAACTATTCAAAACAAGTCTGACCACAATCGAAAGGATTTTTCAAACATACTTTCAACAGAAAAATCATGTTTCAGTCTTTTGTTGAGTGAGAGGGTATGCAATTACTATGTGGCATTCTGGTATTATCAGAGGTGCAGATAAGTAAGTTTTGAGGTTAAAGATGATCAGGCAACTAGATTGTTTCCTCTTTATACCTAAATTATATTTTAATTGGCATGAGCCTGCAGAGGACACTAAATGTACTTTTCAGTTTGGACAGATCAGCTCAGTAATTAATGGGAATTCCTCAAAGAACCCATATAAATGGCTCATTGCTATCTTTCCATTTGTTATTCAGTTTTAAAATATATTTTGTATTTCTTCAAGGGTTGCTTAATGGAAAATTAAGGGAAGGTTTATTAAAGATTATTACATTGCCATCCTTTTAACTAGGGAGTTTTTTTCATATACATAATTCTTCCAAGAATATGAAATAGCCTCAAAAATAGTTGAAACAAGATTTCACTTTCTAATTAACTCTTCCATGGTGGAAGGAAGGAAATGGAATACTGATAGCAAATCCAGTTTGTGTTTTTCATTATCATTTCTCAATACCATAAAATGTGTCTAATTGTCTTACATTAAAAATTAACTTTGTTATAAACAGAGTTGACTTTGAATACTTTAAGACTGATTTGCTAAGTGTACGAATTTGGGCTGCAACCAAGCCAGTGAACAACATCATCAGTAGAACTAATTGAAATGGCTTATGAATACCTATGTAAATGTACGGTTGCAGAATGTATACCATTTACAATTAAAGACAAAAAAGTTTTAGAAGGTTCACAAAATGTAGATTACATACTCATATATAAAGTAATAAAAGTAAAAACAAGTTACTTATAAAACTAAAAATAAATTAAAATTGTAAGAAAAATATTCTCATGTGGTTACATCTCAATGATAGACTTCTTGCTTATTAAATGAAGCCTATTGGTTCCATCCTAACATCACACAAAAATAAATAAATTACCTTTTTAAGGCAAATTGCTTCTGGATGTGGTAGGCACATCTATTTTCAGTATAGAGTGAGACCATGGATTTGAGGCCAGCTTGACCCCATAGTGAAATTCTGTCTCAAAAAAACAAAACAAAAAGCAAAGGAAGAAAGAAAGAAAGAAAGAAAGAAAGAAAGAAAGAAAGAAAGAAAGAAAGAAAGAAAGGAGAAAAATAATATTTACCAGTTTATTCTAATACAAGGAAATTTTCCTTTCTCCCCTACCGAAATATTGGCAGGTGACTAGAGAAAGACATGGTATTGAGACTATCAAAAGTAGGAAAAAAGCTTAGAATAAAGCAGATGGCAGAAAGGGAAAAGGAGAAAGTAAATAAACCAGGCTGATTTCAAAAGAGTTCCACTGTTATGAAAGATCTAGTAGCTCATATTGAAGGAGATGATAACTGTTTGATAAAGACTATACTGGTGTGTGTGTGTGTGTGTGTGTGTGTGTATGTGTGTGTGTGTGTGTGTGTGTGTGTTTGAAGGAGACAGAGAGAGACAGAGACAGATAGAAGGGACAGAGTCAGAGACACAGAGAGACAGAGACAGAGAGAAAGGGGGTTTCTGGCAAGAACAAACAAGGATTTTAAGAAATGAAGTAGAGATCGTTCAGCGGTTAAGACCACTGGGTGCTCTTGCAGAGGATCTGGGTTCGAATTTCAGTATTCATATGGTGACAAACAATCATCTGTAACTCCAGTTCCAGGGGATTTGATGCCCTCTTCTGTCCTCCGTGAGCACTGCACGACATGGGTGCACCTACCTACATGTAGGCATAACACTCATACACATAAAATACAAATAAATCAACAAAAAGGAAAAAAAGAATAAATGAAGTAGAAATTCACTTCTGGGTTTTGGAAAAAAAACAACAAAGCAGAGGGAGAAGAATTCATTACATTCATATCGTTGAGATGGAATGCTAAGGCCTGAAAAAAATATATCTTGAAATACATTAGTCCTTTAATAGTTATTTACTTATAATCTCTGTTTCTGACATAATAGCCTTATGTCTAGTTGGTAAAACTCTTAGTTTATACTGCTTAGCTTAGCATATTGAAGCCAGCCATAAACCTGAAGTGAAGAATGTTATAGTATCAGAAAACCAAACAAAGGATTTCCTCATATTCCTAGAGCTTTCTTGCCTAAATCATCCTATTAACACATTTAAGGGGTGTATAGATTTTGTGACTTCCATTGCTAAGTGACTGTAAATGTGTATGCAGAAACAGGCCCTTCTATGGTAGAACATTCTATTAGCTATTTCAGAAGTTTTTTTTATTTGCTTACTTATTTTAATGGGAATGTTTAGACCTAGAATTTGCCCTCAAGTTTTTCAAAGGATTTATCATATTTATTGTCTTAGATTTATCCTATCTCTTTAATTCTTGTTACCTTGTTTGTTGTGTGACATTTGCTTCTGGGATATCATGTCTCCTAAGAAAGTAAAATGAACAGACTATTCCTTCATTTATAATGTATAACAATTCTTCCAGGCTTTGAAACATTTTATCATTACCACAAAACCAAAGGAGATTAAAGAAAAGAACTTTATTAAATCAGATTTACCAAAACATAACATGGAATACATAATGCTAGATTTACAGTACATTCTAAGAATAACACACTAGATAAAAATTGCATTCCTAATTATCCACCAAGTTGACAGGAACTAAAATGAAAATTAAATAATTTAAACAAAACTATTTAGTCACATTTTTAGAATCTTATCATTTGTATTTAATAATGTTAAGTTTATCAATACTTATATTAATTTAACTTATGTCTTCCTGGTTATAGTAATAGAAAAAGTATGCTTCAGGGAACCAAAGCCAAATATATTATATAAATGATAGAACATGGTGCAGATCAAAGGTAAATTCCCTATGAATGAACCATGTTTTCTTCTAATATACTCTTACCATTAATTATCTGCAATGGTGCTAGATGTTTCAATTAAAATATTACCGAATACCTGTAATAATTTCAGGCTTCATTTCTAGAGATGAAGCCGCCTTATTTGGAGGTTCTGGAATCTGTGGGATAAAGATTTTCCTGGGTATACTGAAATGTGCTGGAAGACTCAGTTCTGTTGTGTATACAGTGGATTTAGGCTTCTTCAACTTTGACGTATTAAAGAGCAAAATGCACTGCAAATAAATATTGAAATTTCATTGTAATTTTCTTATTTACTTCCAGACTACAAGACACCATTATACTTAGACAACATCGTTTGAAAATATACATAAAGAATGCATTGTTATTTCTTTAGAGTCACTGTTCTACAACTCCATAGATGGCATTACTAGCACATTCAAGATAATAATGGTGTCGTCCTTTAAGAATGGTCTGTGTCCCTTTTCTAATGCTTATAGTGATGAAAAACTTGCTCGTCAAAGACACAGTGCATTAGTGAACAACCCTGAAATACTGCTTTACTTCCTGAGCTGAAATTCATGCCCCTTCACATCTATGGATCAGAAATTGACCTAGCATTTGATTCTGTTCCATAGGACACTGAGTCCATGTCCAGGAAGCCACCAGTCATTTCCTGAACTCATTTGTATAAGGTAGGTGGTAGTATTCAGCAGGAATATTTTATTGCAGAGCACTACTAAGTGTGGCTTCTTATATAATAAATATAACAACTTGCATCAATGTTTGATCTTTACTTAGATCATTTCAACAAAGAATTCCTGAAGTAACTGAGAGATATATGCTCTGACATCTAGGGAAAAGTAACAGAAAAAGTCCAAAGGCCAAAATGGAGAATATATGTTTGGCATACCGGTAAAATGAAGGAAGCCTGTTCTCAGTGTATCAGTGAGTGAATGGACACTAATGCAGAAGTTGTGATCAGGGGACAAGGTAGTAGGGACCAGGATGGCAATGTGGACCATCCTAAGGATATTGGCTATTATCCCTAAAAAGCTAAAATGTGCACAGAATAGTGAAATGAGTGTGTTTGTCTTTCAAAGAATCATTTTGGTTGCTTATTGAGAATACTCTATTTTATTATAAGCAATAATAATAGTCTATATTGATATATTATTTCTGATAATATGGGATTTTAATGCCTATCTCAGTTTTCATAAATTATCATTATCACTATATTAAAAATATATGAATGGCAGCTTAAGGACATTTGAGCAACCATCAACTAGTCACACAGCTGGACAGGGTTAAAGTCTCTATACTTATCTTGGTAATTTGATACCAAGCATCTACAGCTACATTTTAAACTTATTCCCACTCATTGAGACTCAAATTTAATTGCTCTAGGTTGAGGCTTGTGTACCCGTGTTACTTTAAGTCCCCTAAAATATTCAAAAGTTCATTCAGAACTGACAGTTATTGTGAATTAAACAATACACTATTGTAGGAAACCAGGATGCCAGGCCCTAGGGTAAGGTGAGCCTAAAACTTACAGGTCCAGGCTGCATTCTCTGCTAAAGGGAGGGGCACTGAAAACAGTGACTCTGATGATCCTTGTCTTGCAGAACACTGCTAGACTAGCAGGAGGAAGCGGCCAATCATAAAAGTGCAGGCTCCCTGCTCTGTGGGAAAGCATTTTGGTCAACAGCCCTTAGCTCGTCTCCTTGTCCTGAACAAATAACTCAGCTATCCCTAGATAGGAGATTAGGCCAGGTTAAAGGTTTACTCCTGAGCTAAAAGCTAAAAGTTCACCATGCTTTTAGCTTTAAGAAAGAAAACATTGTGGCCAATAAACTACTGGATGGGCATTGATAACCTTGAGTAAAAGTTTAAGAATCCTTCTGGCGCCAACTAACAGACTAAATGTCCTGTTTCTTTGTATCCTAAATCTTTGTATGTGACTGCCATATCCCATGTGACTGCTAGTTCCTTGGGATGTATAAAAACTATCTGAATTCTAAAATAAATCATCCTGTTGGGAAGACACAGGTCCCAGAGTTTATGACTCTGTCACCGATCAGACCCTCTGCTCCAAAGCCAGCAGGTCCCCCACTAAACAAAGCAAACCTGAGTCCTGACACACTATGATGAGTTAAATTATTTTTAGAATGAATTATTTCTGATGTCATTATATCTAATAAAGCTAAAAGAATACCACTGATCTCTCTATGGGAAAAGGAGCATTCATCACTTTCTATGCAAACATTTTATAATTATCTACTAATGTAGCTGTACAGTTTTTAAGAATATTCTTTCCTTATTTTTTATTTTGTGAATGTTTTGCCTGCACATATGTAGGTGCAATGCCCACATAGGCCAGAAGAGGGTGTCAGTATGTATGTGCTGGGAACTGAACCTGGGGTCACTGTAAGAACATTCAGTGCTCCTAACTGCTGAGCCGTTTATTCAATACCAGATCTATATGGTTTTAAGAGTAATTTGAGCCTGTAAGATAACTCAGAAGGTAAAGGAACTTGCTAGCAAGTCTGATGATCTGAAGTAGATCCTTGAGACCCACCTGGTGGAAGAACAGAACCAACTTCTACAAGTTACCCACTGGCATCCACATGTGTGCCATAATGTGTGTGCAAAGTCAAGAACACAAATAAATAAATGTAATAAAACAGAAGAGTCACTGAAAGGCATCAGCTGTTCTCTATTCCTACCTCAATCTCGGTTAGTCCCAGGAGGGCAATGGCCGCACGAATGGTACTGCTCTCCAGAGTGCCAGCAATGGCCCTTCGTTCATATTCCAGTGTTGACATCTGTTGCTGTGCTGCAAAAGCCAAAGCCTTTTCCTTGGCTTCATTAGTCAGTGGTAGTTTAAGTTCCACATCTAGGATTTGATGGGGTTTGCAGTTTAAATACAGAACCGGATCTTCCTTATTACACTCTGGGAAAAGTAAAAATATTCATGAATGCAATGAACATTTATGCTCTTGGCATTGTTTTCCCGCATCAATTTCTGTGGTTTAAAATATAAAATTGTATTTCTAATGTTCATTAGCAGAATAAAAAAATGGAATACTACATTTCTATTAATTCTAAATAACTGATTCAAAAGTAAGTCTTTAAGTATAAAAGATACTTTATTGGTAGTCTCCAAGAGGTGTGTTATTCCAACTGTCCTGGTAAAAATATCAATATGCTAAAAAACTTAACATACTGTGATATGGTTAGAGCAGTAATACCAACTTTCAGGAAGACATGACCCTAATCCACAAAGCCTGCTAGCTACTAAGACTCCTCTTTTCTATTAATGATGTATGAAATGTGCTTCTTCCTTGTCCCTTTATCCTAGCACAAGAGAACACACCACACCACAATAAGACAATGCAAAGATGTCTTCAAGGAGAAACTGGCCAGTAATCTCTATCTTACATGGGAAAATCCCCTTAAGCATGAGGAAAAAAATTCTTTAAAAATGAGACTCTTCTGAACTAACAAACCTCAGACTCCCACAAAGAACCCTAAAGTGATAAAATGCGCCTTCTTTTCTCTGTTGGCAGACACCTTGTATTTCTTAGACTAAATGCAAACTCACATTCCCTAGGCCTTTTTCTTCCCAATCTAAACTTTTTCATGAGAGCTCATTCTCAGTCTTGATTTTTATTTCTACAAACATTAGGATGAATTATCCTAATGAACATATCTTTGCTGAAGCACTATTTATAATAAGAAAAAATGAGAAATTGAAATAAACAGAAAAATGATACATATTAAGGACTAGAAAGTGATGCTATTTTGTTTCATTAACCTTCCACAATTAAATATAAAATTATTTCAATGCCAATAATCATGAATTGGACATCAAGGTGAAATCCTAAATTCTAGGTTATACAATATATGGAACCCATAGGTGGTTTATAAGCGGGACAGAGAACAATGCAGAAATAAGGATGGTGTGAGAGAGAGGAAAGCAAAGTATGAAAAGAAAAGAAAGTATGGAGAGGGATAACTAAAATTAATGCCTTGAAAGTCATATGGAAACCCACTATTGTACAATCTTCCATACTTATATATGTTCATATATATGTCTATACATAGAGAGGAGAGGAGAGATATGCAGGGGTGTTTAAATGGAGTTACCCTATAATAGGAAGAATAATTCCCATACTCGACACAACTATCAAATAAAAACCTTAGTGCCAGGAATAAATTACATCTTTTGAAGTTGTTAGTCAATGAGGCTTCACAGACCCATAAACATTACACACTATTGCCATTGGTCTTGGTGACTCTCTTGAACTTGATGGTGCAATCCTATGCCTCAAGGCACCACATATTTGAATCATGGAATACAGAGAAATCAAGTTAGTACTGACCTAAAGCTTCATCCCTACTAGCTAGACTCTCGTAGTGCTAGATGATGCTATCTATCTACAGTATCAGAGGATGAAAACTATCATCAATTTTAGCCATCTGTAAGTCCTGCAAGCTCCAATAATAACTGACCTGGAAAGGTATGGCAATTTGTGCCACAGTAGCATGACTTACGGTAGTAAGCAAGCACTTTTAATTGCATTTAAGGCCTGCTTCAGAAGACATAATCCATGACTGACACTGTTTTCTGGGGCAGAACATTAGGGCTGGAGAGGCCTTAGACCCTAGGGGCAAGCCAAATGTTATTATATTGCTAAATGGACATTGTATTAAACCAACTCCTAATGCCATCAATAAATGCATCATGTATTTATCAACCCACATCAGAGAATTTTCATTTGGGGGTAAATGGTAATTAACAGAGAGCCCACAAATTGTAAATGTACAAAGGATAAGAGAATTGGGCGTGCTCAGATATGAATGGGATATTTATATCATGCTCCTTCCTTTGAAGGCTCAGGGATCATTGTGGAAGAACTGGCAGAAAAATTCTAACAGCCAGACATAGCAGATAACTATACTGAAATAGTTTTTCCCCCCCTTTGGGCAAAATAGGGAATTTACACATATTAGCTGACAGCAGTTGTGACAACATACAAAGGACCTGAGCAAAATCAGGCCACACAAAATCCCAGCATGGGGACAGGAGGTCAATAGACCCCACCCCTACCTGAGGAGTAAGTAGTAACTGATATCTTCTGGGAGATGGAGAGTCCCCTGTCTTTAAGAGTATGGCATAGTAGGTCAACTATACTCCAGTGGATATGGGCAACAAAATTGAACTCAATGAATTATTAATAAAAAAAAGATGCATGACACTGGGGTAGACAAAGAAGAAGTTAGGGAGAAGCATAGAGAATGAATATGAGCAAAATACATTGTGCCAAATTCTCAACTAATTAAAGTATTTTTAAACAACACATACAATGCCAATTTAAATTTCTTTTAAAAACAAACATATATAGAAGACTATAGATATGTTTACACACACACACACACACACACACACACACCATCTATAGGTACATACGTGCACATACCTATAGACACACCTATGAACACACAGAGACATCTACACACACACAAAAATATAGACACACATATCTACAAACACACAATATGGAGAGAGAGGAATACAATGATTTCCAAAAAGAAATGGAGCAATATATTTATATGAAGATCGAAAGCATCCCTTTATGAAGAAAAAAAATGACTATTGATGTATTTAATTGGGTAAAATAATGCTGTCTCATGTATAGAAACACAGTAAAGTTAAAAGATGGATTTCCAAAACATAATTACAGTTTTGGAGACTGTTGTTATAAGGATGTTTGTAAGACAATACAAGGGATAATAACATCTTTCAGTATTATATATGAAGCAAGACATGTGTAATTTACCTTCTAGAGATGAGCTGTAGTCCATTGGATTTGGAGGCTTGATTGGAAGAAAACTGGAAGGCAAGGGGATCAAACCTTTTCCTTCCACAATATATATTAAATCTCCAATCTAAAACATAAACACATAATACTAAGTTTTAAGCACTCATAAAAAGCAACACATATTCATGCCACAATGAAAGTGTATACACTGTAAGAACTGCCATGCATTTTGTTTCTGAGCAATTTATAATCTAATTAGATAGACAAAATAAAAGTTTATGTATATTTCTACATTGGCATGGGATAAAATTTTCAGGAATTAAGATATATAGACTAAGCAGAAGATCGAAGATATTTCAAATGTTCTTGGGAAATTCTTGTCTTACAATGATCAAGCAAAGAAGGAAAATTCTCCTTCATCATCTACTAATACTATTACTTATTACTGTTATAATTATTTTAGATTATGAAAATCAATGAGTCTATTTCAAAGTATGCACTTCAAAAATAAGCATATCTGCATCTTATAGCTTACAGCAGATAATTAAGGAAGAAGTACAAAAGGCTAAACAAACAAACAAAAGTAAAAGTAGGAACAATGCATGGGCACAAAAATTATACATGGAGAAGCCAATAGTGGTAAGCATGCTTTATTATATTAGGCATTACTATTAGATACTAAGCCTCAGGCAATTTTATGAGATTGCTGATTCCAATCTCCTCTTCTGTAAAACTGGGTGAAAAGTACCTTTAGAAGCCTAGAGTTTAAATGAAAGTAAGTTGAAGAGGGGGCATTTCTAAACGCATATCAGAAAATGGGGTGCTGGAGAGATGGCTCAGGGATTAAGAGCACTACCTGGTCTTCCAGGTGACCCAGGTTTGAGTGCCAGCACTTACATGGTGGCTAACAACCATTTCTAACTCCAGTTCCAGGGGGACCCAATGCCCTCTCTCACCTCTGCAGGCATTTCACGACACATACACTTATACCCATGCAAGAAATACGCTCATATACATAAAACCAAAATAATAAATAAAATATTTAAGGACATCAAAAACTCACAATGGATAAATCTTACTAGATACTGAACAAAGAACCTTAAATTAAAGAAAAAACACAAAAACAATCATATAACAATCAGGGACTTTGAATACTGCTTGGGTTTTTGACAGTATTAAGAAAATTAAAATATTTTTATTAATGTGGTATCATTGACTATATCAACTTAAGTGAGTGTTGTAAAGATACTGAATTATGAATAAAAGTGTGTGGTCTTTGGGATTTAGTTCATTATGTTCATAAAATTTTTTGGCCATGGACTGCCAAAATGGAATGGAAGGTACAGAGACAATTTATTGTAGCTTAATATCTACAGTGATTTGTATAGAAAATCATGATATATCATTCCATATTCTGACTGATTTATATTAGGATTATTTTGAGTTCAGACAATTGAGAAGTAGGTGCAAGAAAAACTGTTCTTCCCATGTGCCTAAAACCATGATAAATATTTATAAAGGTTTCTTCCCTTGCTCTCTACCAGAAAGGACAGAAGTTGATATGAAAGACTAATTAGACTCTTACTTCCCTGTGGATGAAATTAGGTAAATCTACACAACAAACGTCTATTTTCCTCCTACATTTTGTGTTATCTGTCTTATCTAGAGACTCAGAGTCCCTTTCCTTTGTCTTCTCAGGCCTTAAATACTTGCTACTCATTGAAGCTGCTGTGCAAGTGGAAAGTCAAAGCCAGCTCTTTGAGGTTTATGCATTCCCTAATTGTCTCCCAAAGATATATGAAACATGGAAGTTAGAAAGTTTTGTTTTATTCTTTGGTGAACTATGAGGAGTAGAAAGGAAAAAGTATTTATTTCCCTCTATATGTATTTTTTAAGTTTGATCATGAAATATTTGTTTGTAATTCCTGTATCATAAGGAGTAGAATGACTGTATTTGGGCAAGACTACATGAGGAATACATATAAGAATTATTTATTCTGATCAAGACATGTAGACAGAAGGCAACAAAGTCATGGATGATTGGTCTACCAGAGCACAGACAGGTGCTAGTTGGCTAAATAATAAAGCTCAAGCGTTGGTGCAACAGGGATGGTGTACCTCAGCAAGGGGCTATATTTATTATATAAGAAGCCACACTTAAAACTACTCTCAGATGAAATGCCCCTGCCTAATAATACTACCTACCATTCATACAAATGAGTTCAAGAAATGACTTGTGCCTTCCTGCACAAGGACTCAGTATCACATAGAAGAGAATCAAATGCTAGGCACCACACTGAAGATGGATCCATGAGTCATTTTATTGCAGTGTGATTTACAGTGTTTTTGTGTTACCTGTTTTATCAACCTCTCTTCCCAGGAGATGAAACTCATCAGAGACTGAGTTCTGATGATGCTGATACTCTTCCACTTAAGCATTCCCATTTCTTTTTTAGATCTGAAATTTCCTTGGATTTCTGGTATCTATTAGCATGAACTTTTAGGGCTTTTCTGGGTTTGTCTATAATCTGGCAATTTTTAAGAACACAAATGGAAGTTTTCTAAAACCATTTGTATTTTCCAAGCTATGTAAATACTTGCTTTCTTATTTGAAAATTCAGATGGAATGCCAAAAATGAAACAAATATGCATTCCTAATAACACTGTTAGTAGAAATATTTTCATTTAAAATGTGGAAAGCTACGAGATAGAGGCCTGATTACTTTAGTTTTCAACAGGCAGGTTTTAATGACAAGGGAGTTATCACAGGAGCAAACTCTGTGGGCTTCCCTGAATGTTTAACTACTTAAGCATGCAATTGCATTTTTCAATATAATTAGCAATAGAATTGGATGTATAAATTAATACTGATTGTAATCCAATGAAATTCTGTAAATTGTGACATTGTTTCTCAATAAGAAGCAATACATTTCTAAGACTGTTGCTTTATCATAATGTCTTCTCTGGTAAGGACAAAATATATGTAACTAAATGTGTGTTTTAATAAATGGAGGCACCAAATTAAGTCTGGTTATATTTTCATTATTTTAGATCTCTTTAATTAAGCAAAAAATACTATAATAATTCACTTCAAAGAAGAAAATCCACCTAGATACTCTACTCTTAAAATGAATTTCACTAATTTCTAAAGTTTTGAAATAATTAAAAAAATTGATTCACATGTTTATGTGTTAATACCTGCTTGCATAACTTTACATGCACCATGTGTGTGTGGGAACACAAAGAGGCCTGAAGAGGGCACTGAATTCTCTGAAATTGGAGTTATGGACAGTTTTTACTAGCCATTAGGATGCTGAGAACTAAACCTGGGTCCTCTGCAGGAGCAGCCAATACTCTGAATAGGTGAACCATTACTCCAGCACCTAAAAAAATATTTTGTTTAGCATTTTATCTAATTATTTGTAACATAACAACTACAGTAAATCCTTAGGTAATTCTTTTTCAGTAATAGGCATGAAACTCAGGGCTTCATGCATGCTAGGCAAGCTCTATATATTACTCAGCTACAAGTGCAGCTGAACATCTTGAAATGACAAAAAACATGGTTGTTTATATAAAGCATGTTTTCTTTAAGTAGCAATGCAATATGTAAGATTAAAGTATATTTTACATATGTAAAAGGATACATTACTTTTCAAATGCAAGTAATTCTATAGATACTAGGCAACTACTGTCTCATAATTTCATTGGTAACTCAAGTACAGTAAACACATATTTGATACATGTGGCTGTTTATTTTCCAGGTATTTTAAATTTCCTTTTCAGATCAGCACCTGACAGAGAGACAGAAATTCTCTTCTCTCCCCCTCTCTCTCCCTCTTTCCCCCTCCCCCTCTCTCCCTCTCTCCGTCTCTCTCCCTCTCTCCCTATCTCTCCCTCTCTCCCCATCTCTCCCTCTCTCTCCTCTCTCCCTCTCTCCTTCTCTCTCCCTCTCTCTCCCTCTCTCCCTCTCTCTTCATCTCTTCCTCCCTCTCCCCTTGTCCTTCCCTCCCTCTTCCTTTCTCTCTCTTCCCCACTCTGTCTTCCTCTCCCTCCATAATGTCCCAAGCCTGCACTCCCATCTACTACAGAAGACAAGGCAGGAGGATCACAAGTTCAAAGCCTGCCTAGGCAACTTATTGAGAGCTTGTCTGAAAATCAAAAGTAAAAAGAGGTTTAAGATTATAGTTTAGGGTAGAATATTTGCCTAACATACTTTAACCTTAGGTTCAATAACCAGTATGACTTTAAAAAATGATGACGTGATTTATATGTGTTGTTCTAAAGAGGAACTCAGTACCAACATAGACAGACAGACAGACAGACAGACACACACACACACACACACACACACACACACACGCACACAAATAAACCCACAACACAACCTGAGAAATTCTTCTACTCTGCTCCCATTGTACTTTCCTGTGCAGCCACCATAACCTTCATCTACTAGAATAAGTCTTTTGATATTCTCCAGAATATTGTCCTCACTTTGGATTCTGTGGACTAATTTTTTCAAGAAACTCCAGCTACCTTAAAATTGCCTGCAATGTTTACTTCATTTTGGAGGCAACCCAGTATGGAAGAAACAGACAACAATTTTGTTCTTACCTCTTTGTTGCTCAGGATAATGGCACAGTAACGAAGGTGTATATCAAAGGGAAGATAGAAGAGTTCTAGGCTTGAAGAACCGTTTGCTCCCAGGAAAATTGTAGGTGTTGAACAGAAGAACTCTCTGATGAAATTAGATTTACTTGCTATAAAAAAATGACATAAAAATTGATACATATTATAAGGACTGTTCAAATAAAAGTAATGTTGCAATAACTAGCATTTGAGGATCTATCCAAATTTTGAAAACATTATAACACAGGAGTGTAAGATGATACCTATATTTTAATACAAATTTATGGGTGACCCAAGCTCAAGGTTTATGTAACAGAAATGAATAAATATGTCCATCTGTTAAAGATTCTTTAATGAAGAGTCTCATTAAAGAGGTA